CTTTAACACATGAAAGAACTGAGGCTTGAGAGAATGATCAGAGGGATGAAGCTGGCTCCATTACGTAGAATCTGGGCTTGACTCTAATGACCAGGCTGAAAGATCCATTCATTTGGCAGAACTGACAAAGGAGGCATTAAGGGGATAAGACAAAAGGACTCAAAAGACTATGATGAAGGTAGCCAGGTATGAGATACTAGAACAGACGTTTTCTGCTAAATAACTCAGAAGGAATCACAATTCATCCACCCTGCTGATGTTTGCTGCACAGCTACAGTTCTTTCCCTAATGAAATATAGAAATGAAATAGGCAGCAAAGATGTGTAAGGAGAATGTAAGCTAGGTGCCAACTGCAGAGAAGTAATTTGTGATGCTATTATGTTTGTGAGTTACTGGATCATCTGAAAACAGAATGAAATCCACATCATTTCCTGTGTCATTTAAGAGAACTCATATGGGTGAAATGCAGATTTTGCTCAGCATATTTCTCTCCTTTGTGAGCATCTTGTGAAGCCATGGGAATCCTCCAGGGATGACACAGAAAACAAAACTTTCTCATGCACTGACAATGCAGAAAGGCAAGAGTGGTGGGTGGTTTGAGAATGCATTACACTGGAAGCTGAACCTTCATGCTACCCTGGGCTTCACTGGGAGGAAGGGAAACTTACAAAGTGAATAAATATAAAAATTGAATTTAAAAAGTGGAAAGGTTCTATGAAGAAAGGAGAAAAGCTAGCAGAGGCAAAGAGCTGAGACAAAATATAGCCTTCAAAGAGCAGGAACAGGTGTCAGCGAGTGAGCCGGCTGTAAATCACACTGTTCAGAGTTAGCAAAAACACAATCTTCACAGATCTGTATGAGTGCCAGCCCTAAGGAGCACAGCAGCGTATCCCCAGTAGGTCTCGCCCCATGGATCAGTTACGAGACTGAAAGTCCCCACCTCCTTACAGTTGTTTAAGTCACCTTCTCCCAAGGGCTTTCCACAAGCAAACAGAAACTATGCCTGCATGAAGCCTGAGCAAGTAAAGTAGTAGCTTTGTGACCACCATGAATGCCAGCCAATCAGCACTCTGCACAGACAAGACGTTGGTTTGGATGGAATGCAGCTTTGGCTTCACGACTGGCAGGCTGTTGTGACAACAAGCACTTCACACCGGTGGGTTTGGGGAACACAAGGAACCTGCCTTATACTGAGTCAGAACATTGGTCCATCTACCTCAGTACAGTGGTACCTTGGGTTTAAGAACTTAATTCGTTCTGGAGGTCTGTTCTTAAGCTGAAACTGTTCTTAACCTGAGGTACCACTTTACCTAATGGGGCCTCCCGCTGCTGCCGCCGTGCTGCTGCCATGTGATTTCTGTTCTCATGCTGAAGCAAAGTTCTTAACCCGAGGTACTATTTCTGGGTTAGCGGAGTCTGTAACCTGAAGAGTCTGTAACCCAAAGCATCTGTAACCCAAGGTACCACTGTACTTTCTCCACAGACTGCAATAGTGGTCTGTGAGGCATCAGCACTTACCTGACTTCCCATCCCCATCACTGTGGATTCCTGGGAGGGAGAGAGGGAGGCAGTAGAAAGGTCAGTGTGCTGGTGTGAGAACACCAGTTTGGCTCTGCCGGTGGTTTTGTGCCCTGCTGACCTTGCTGCTACCTCTCCTTCCTGGGAAGTCACAGCATTGCCTATGATGGGAGGTCAGGTAAGTGCCAACACTCTGCTGACTGATTGACAGCAGCTTTCCAGGGGTTCACAAAGGCAGTCTTTTCCCTATGTTGTACTAGTATGGTGTGTTTGGAGAGGAGCAGTACCTCTGATGGGGATATGTCGTACTCCCTTGGAAGTAGTTCATGCACCTTTGGTCCCCACCCTACACTCTCACCTGTGGCCCCTATGAAGGTCTGCGCGTTGAGCACTCTGTTTTATGGAAATGAGTCATGGGCAACTTACATCTGCCAGGAGCAATGCCTTAATGCTTTACATATGTGCTGTGTCAGGAAGATTTTGGGCACCACATGGTAGGACAGAGATTTGACCAAACAAATATGTGCTCTCCCTAAGCCAACATCCCCAGCATGTTCACACTTCTGTCTCAGTATCATCTACACTGTTTTGGTCTGTACATAGAATGCAAGATGGCAGGATCCTCAAGAATGTGCTCTACACGGAGCTGGCTTCAGGCACTAGGCCTGTTGAGAAGACCACCTGTGTGTTACAAAGATGTCAGCAAACATGACATTAACCTCATTGCATAGAAATCCCTTGCAGATTATCAGTGTCTAGTGACAGAGAGACAGGTCATGGATCCATAGCAGTGACCAGAGGATGAAGGGCTGCTGGGAGAAGTGCAGAGAGAAAGAATGCCATGGTGCACCTTTAGCAGCAAAACCTTCATCTGCCCCACCTTCAATAAAACATGTCTCTCCCATATGTCTCCATATGTCTCTCCCATACAGCCACAGCTGGTGCTGTAACTCTCCAATGGTTTGACTTTACCCCCCAAAGATGCAGAAGACAGATGGATGCCCACAGCATATATTTACCTAATATATTTCAAAGTTAGCAAAAGATCAGAGTGTAAATTGGATAACTACAGGAGTCTGTGGCATTCCCTTCCTTCCGACAGAGGCAGAGCTAGGTGCTCCGGCAGCCGGAGTGGCATACACCTGGGGGGCAGGGCGAGCGGCCCACAGGGGTGGGGCAAGTGCCCCCCGGGGGTGCCACGAGCAGCGTCTCAGGGGGGTGCCGCAAACAGTGAGCAGCGTCCCATGGGGGTGCCGCAAACGGCGAGCAGAGGCATGGGAGCGGCGGCACGGCAATGTCACCCCCCTCAGGGATGGCACCCGGGACGGACCACACCCACCTTCCTCTGCCACTGCCTTTTGAGACTCTGAAGTTTACAAAGCTATTAAAAGTATGTAAGATATTTTTATTTCTTTGAAGGGTTTCTGTGCTATGTTAAAATGCCAGTTAAGCATCAGATGAGAGTTAACACCCTCTCTATGAATTCATACTGGTTCTCCACTAGAAATATGAAAGCAACTTTTTTTGGGAGGAGGGAGTTGTGCGTTGATTAGCCTTCTTGAATCCTCTCTAACCTCTCCAGAGAAACAATAATATTTGTTTGAAAACTTCCGTTTTTCTTTGCATGTGTGCTGTGAAAAGATGTGACTATAGTTAGCTACCAACAGACATGTTTTCAACCACTGCTTTTATTTAAGAACTTGGGGGAGATTAATTTAATAAGCCATATGTTTGTTCATTTTTAAGAAAAAAATCTGACCTCTGAACATTGGAAATCTGTATGTTTTGTTTGAAACATTAGTCATAAATCTATGGGATTTATATAAAACTATAGCATCATTTATGCAAGAGAACTGCCTAGGTATGCAAGTTTGCTTAGCAGCAGTTGGAGAATGTGCTGGGGGAAGTTGCTGATAAAATAATAATCTCGAACACATCTCAGGTCTATTATACAAATTTGCCCCTAAATCAGACCTTTTGTGTTTAATCAGCATGCTGTTATCTACTGGCATTTGGTACTCAGGAGATTAGGTATGAGCAAATGAAAGCATTTACTTAAATAAGCACACCTTATTTAAGTAAATGTGTTGTATTTGTGCATTTCGTTTGCACCAAGTACAATTATCATAGTGTACTAAGTAACTACCACACGCTAATGACTGGAAATAAAAGTGTCATCTTCAAATATCTGAAGGGTTGTCACATGGAAGATGGAACAAGCTTGTTTTTTGCTGCTCCACAGGGTAAGACCTGAACCAACATTACAAGAAAGGAGATTACAACTAAACATTAGGAAGAACTTTATGGTGACAAGAGCTGTTTGACTATAGAATGGACTACTTCAGAAGGTGGAGGGCCTTCTTTCACCAGAGGTTTTCAAGCAGAGGTTGGATGGCCATCTGTCATGGATACTTCAGCTGAGATTCCTGCATTGCAGGGGTTGGACTAGATGACCTTTGGGATCTCGTGCAATTCAAAAATTCTGTGATCCTGTTATTTGTGTTAAAAAAATTGTGAAGGGAGAAGGAGTAGAATAACTATTCCTATTCTTTATTTTATTTCTGTACAGCATTGTATCACTTGGACAATTTCCATGGAATACTGCTTCTGGGTTGTTATCAGCTAGGGATTACACATACCACTCATTCATCTTTATCAGTGTTTAATTTAGATTTTATTTTAGATTTCCTGCTCTTTCTTTCAGTGCAAGTCTTTATTTCAGGATTAATTGTGTGGGAGTGGGAATAAACTGTGAATCTTGACTGGCTGGTTAGCACAGTTGCTCAGAACTTAATGGTACCTGCTGGAGCTTATTCAGGAAGCAGTTATCTCCCTAAGGCTTCTTAAAATTAAATGAATTCCAAAGGCCACACCATAAGCTTCGCATTGTTGTTGCAGTGCTCATGCACACAGAGCCACACACATATACACATTCTCCCAAGACTCTCCACAGTTCTATTGATGACTCAAGCCTGGAACAGCTTGAGGCCAGTGATATTTCCAAGAATCCAACTGGCATCCATAAAAGAAAAGGCATAAATACAGCAAAGAAGAATTCAAGCAAGTAAGTATTGATTTTCTTTTTTAAAAATTGTTGTAGTTGCAGTTTGGTCTAAAGAGCTACATGGTGATGGAAAATACCAGGCAAATCCCCAAAATATGCCAGCTAAAAATCCACAAGGGGTTGATCTCCCTCTGAATTTGTACAAGTTCACTAAAACCTCAACACTGCCTCTTTCACATCTCTAGTGACAAATGAATGCCTATTCCAAATTGTGACTGAGCATTTTGTTATAATTTATTGGTTAAATATCAACCTTGTCTTTTGACCAAATAATGCTCAATGCACAAGAAAAAAAATGTATAAAACAATAAAACAGCAATAAGATGCATTTTTCAAAAAATAACAACAACATGAAAATGAGGCAGGATAAACATCAATTAAATCAGTAGACATTAGGAGAAAAATCAATATAACTCACTAAACACTTCCTTGGACGAAGAGAAGAGAGTTCCAAGGACGAGTAGTGACATTGACAAGACTCTACTTCCAGTCCCAGAAACCAAGGCTCCCCTTGCCGATACCCAAAATGTCACGGCCGACTTTAATTGCCACTGTGAACAGAAGGAAGACAGTAAATCAGAGCCTGAAAGAGTTCTAGTGTGCTTAATCAGAGGCATGCATCCTAGAACAAAGACTGCAGGAAAACCAGGGGAATTGGCAGACAGTATATGGGACAAATATAGTATTTTGCTTTGCAACTAAATAATGGCCACACGTATTTTTTCCATCACATACCGTATTTTTTACTCTATAAGACGCACCAGACCTAAGGCGCACCTAGTTTTTGGAGGAGGAAAACAAGAAAAAAAATATTATGAATCTCAGAAGCCAGAACAACAAGAGGGATTGCTGCGCAGCAAAAGCAGCAATCCCTCTTGCTGTTCTGGCTTCTGGGATAGCTGCGCAGCCTGCATTCATTCCATAATACGCACACACATTTCCCCTTACTTTTTATTAGGGAAAAAGTGAGTCTTATAAAGCAAAAAATATGGTATTCTCTTTCAATACTAGAAATTTTCCAGTGTATCTGAATTGCCATTATAAGAAGCATGCATCAACAAGCAGAAAGGAGCTTTTAAAAAATTCTTCCAAGAAATGGTTCTAAAGTGCCTCGAAAATAATCATAAAACTGCTAGTGTCACGAGTCCCATGGAGATGCCATGGAGGGGATGGTGAGAGCCTGAGGAGGAATGGGAGGTGCTATGACCACTCCACTCTTCAAAAAGAAAATGTGCAGGGAGTGCATTGATTGTTGGATCAATGTCTTAGCTTGTGCTTAGTCAGGTGTCTATTATACCTCTGTACCTCCTGCACCTTTTCACCTGTGCCTTCCCTATGTACTGATCTGATTTACACATTAAAGACTTTGGCAAAAACAGAGCTGGGAGTTGAAGTTCATCATCTGGCACTGAAGGCCAAGACAGCTATTAGCACATGAAGTTCATTTCTCTGGTTTTAAATAGTTCTTTTAGAATCCAGTTTCTACTGCACTGATTTTACTGAATTCGTTTCCCTTTGTATGAACACTTAACATCGCCGCCTAGACTTCAGCAGCCATTAAGGCATTCTTGATACGTTTCATAATTAAAATATGGAAGAGGAAACCTCCTTGAAGCTACAAACTGAGATTTCATTATCACTAGGAATCACCTCAAGCACAACACTTTTCAATGGTGAAAAGTTATGTTTTCAACAGCATGGCACTGTGTACTGTGGGTGAGATCTAACCCCACTGCTGTGTGGTAATAGAAACCGACTCCACTTATGCATCAAGAAATGGGCAGCAATTCCTTCAGACAACAGCCATTTGCACCTTCAGGCTTGCCTCCAGGGGTAATTTTGGAGAGTGTGAAGCCTACCTCTTGAAGGGGGAAGCTAGAATGCTTCCTTGTAAAGAGCACACTGGAGTCTCTGAATTGCAACCCTGTGTAATAAAGGGAAGCATATCCATGTGTGAATTGGCCCTAAGGGTAGCAAAATAAAGCCTCTCATAATGACAGGCAAACATGACTTGTTTTCACTTTGGCCTTGTACCATCTCCAGCTATCCTTCATTCTAGCATCATTTGTAGTAGGACAACTTTGCAGTAACTAAAATTCTTATTAGAAAATTTGGTGTGAAGTTCTAGTAATTTATTTAAGAACAACTGGGATGTTTTTGGAATGCTAGGGATAAATGAAGAAATGCCAGCGTGGTTTATTCAGTACTTATTTTCCCTTGTGTAACACAAAGTTGGAAAATTTAAAGACGGACCACATATTGCAATCTGTCTATATTGTGCATCATGGCTTCATGTATAATTTATGCACTGGTTTAGATAAGCACAGTTTTATTATTTCTGCACTGCTTTGTAGTGTTTTCCAGCAATCCTATGTCGCCTTTGCACACATGCCAATATATTATCCATATTTGTTGCTTGGCCTGAGGAAATTTGCAAATGAACAAAACCAATCCAAAAAGTTAAAATAATATTTTATTAAAATCCAGGCTTTATTTACTTTCCCACGCCAAAAGAAGAAGAACTTGCATTCCCTACTTTATAGTATAATAAAGCAGCTTCAATCCTTGGCGATTTCCCACATGTAGCTCCAAAAGGGCCTATCATTCCTCTAACACCAACTGGCCCCCAAAAGCCTTTAAGAAAGATGTTCCGTGCTTAGCTATTTGATGTTCATTATCTCCTTTTGCTCCATTTACACCACATTTCTGGAGTGCCTTGAGCTTCTTTCAATAATCCCATCAATTCTCTCATTTGCTGTATGCTTTGTAGTTTTTATGCTTTGACTTTCACCCAGATATTGTTCTTTGTTGCTTTTGGTTTCTGCTTTCCCTTTTTCATGGCAAGAGGAAACCTTCCCTCCTCTCCCCTCCTTTACATCACTTATTGAAATCCCCTTTGCTCCTCTCCCTGTACCAGTTAAAAGAGGTTGTTTAAATTTTTTTAAAAAAACCTGAAAATTCAGATCAACCTTTTTTCTTCCTTATACATTCATTCTTATTATTGAATACAATAATCTAAGTACTCTTCATTTAGAGGCTTCTTAAATGTTAGCTTAACCATAGGAGAACTCCTTTCCAATACACAGCTCCAGCACTAATGGAAGATAGCACTTAAGTGACTCAATTGTGTGGGTCTTTCCCACTGAATGGGCATTTCCCATCCTAGCAGGGACCAGTTCCACAGTTGGGTCCCATTTAATCATTCCCAGCCATGTGATTGGATAAAAAAAATTACCTCAACCATGTAGAAATCAACTCATTCAAAATGGAGCTTTGGCATAGTGATAAAGGATGAGGACATGATCAAGCAATGTGTCAGGTCAGAATCACAGGGAGACATGACAACAGGAGGAACTGGAGTCCAGAAGAGAAATTGTAGATACCGGTATAAGAAACCAATCATGGCTGGGTCTCCTGTCTGCTTCCAGTGCAATTATTAGAACATTTGTTTCAATACTCTGTGTTGATCATCAGAAGAGATTACATTATCACATTGTTCAGTCTGCATGTGGAAGCAGGGCATATGAGGTCACAGTGTGCACAAAGCATTGCATTCCCATTGGAGTCCTGGTCAGTTGTAACTGCCAAAGGTCATGGGCAGGTTTGATACTGCAACACTACACCCAAATGAAGTGCTTTACTATTTACTACAAGTATAATCAGTCTGGCATACAGAGAATAAAAGAGTATATAAGTTAAAGCATAAAACTGGAGTCTGTTAATAAAAGAACAATCTTTAAGATAAAACTAATAAAGGCATAATGTTAAAAAGTGCCTCTTGAGTCTTGTAGCAACATCAATCAATCAATCAATCAATTTTATTGTTTGTAGACAATACCTTGGTTCTCAAACTTAATCCATTCTGAGTGTCTGTTTGACTCCCAAAAGCATTCGAAAATCAAGGCGTGGCTTCCGATTGGCTGCAGGAGCTTCCTGTACTCAATCGAAAGCCACAGAAGCTGGGTCAGACATTGGGCTTCCAAAAAATGTTCGCAATCCGGGACACTTATTTCTGGGTATGCAGCATTCGGGAGCTGATTTGTTTGGGAGCCAAACCATTAGAGAACCAATGTACCACTGTATAATATGAACACAAACCGCACAGCTGAAAAACAGAGAAAGAACATTGCATACACCAGAACAAGGCAAATCTACAATGTCAGCAACTTCTAGCGACATAGCTTCATGGTATCTCTCAGAAATTTGCTACATTCTCTGTGAAGTCATGCCTGCAGTAGAGAGTCAACCCCAGAGAAGTCTGAGCAATTTAAGCTTTCTTTCAGCATGGTGTTCAAATATTCATCACGGATTTTTGCATAAAAGGGGCAGTAGAATAAAACATGTACAATGATTTTGACCTGTTTTATACCACAAGGACAATACCTTTGCAGGATCGCAGATGGCATTACGTTAAAACTTGCAAGGGAGAAAGCTCTACGTTGGTGGGGATTGTATAGGTGATGCAAATATGGAGTGGCCTGACCAAAGGTAGTATCCCTAGCCCCAATGGATGTTCTAAATCAAATCACAAATTGACAGCACAGTCCTATGCATTTCTACTAAAAAGAAAGCCCCGCTGAGTTCAGTGGGACTAACTCAAGCAGGCATGTACAGACGGCTGAATTTCCCTTCCCAATACTTATTTTTGTCCATTCTCACTTGCTTCTCCTCATGCCTTGAATTATCTATCCCCTGCTATCCATCACACTTCTGTTCCTTCCCTTAAGACTTTCATTTGCTTCCTTTTCTACTCAACAAGTATTTATCTGATTTATTTTTTAAATGCCAATAAGCATTTCCATTTACTTGTTATTTTGAGAGTCCATTCTTATGAAACTGCATAGTCTTTCCATCATTCCTCCATATATATTATCTATTAAAAACTGCAAGCCTTCAGGCAGAGACTTGTCATTTTCTGCAGCAGAAACCCAGACTGACTACCTAATGTTAAAATGGGTATACTGTTTCATTGCATTTTTAATGTAGACAATCACAATTAAATCCAGTGTGATTTTTGCCTTTAGAAACTATTTTAGTGGCAAAACAATCTGCCAAACACAGAATTAATAGGAAACCAAAAATAAAAATGCAAAACTCAGAAACCTTGTCAATGTGTACTACAGTATGATCAAGTTAAAAAAAAAGATGTCAAGTCTAGCAAAAAGGCTCACAGATCTCTAAACCCAATCTCATTATTTAATCCACGTTCCAAGTTCAGACATGATTAAAATAAAATCATGACATTCAAGGACACAATCACTTTTTACACAAATGATCTTTTGCTTGGATGTTGTTAAAGATGCATGCATCATTTTCACTGTGTGTACTTTCTTATGATTTTCACGCACATGCCTTGCCAACTCTGTAGGCACCTTAAATCCCTTTTACTACTTGATACAACAAATTTTTATTGTGTTATCCATCAAGGGCATGAATTGCTTTGATAATAGTACAGTGGTAAAAAGGTAAAGGGACCCCTGACCATTAGGTCCAGTCGTGACCGACTCTAGGGTTGCGGCGCTCATCTCGCTTTATTGGCCGAGGGAGCTGG